GAAGATTGTTCTAACAGTAACTACATATTGTGTCCCTTTAAAAACAACTGTTAGTGTTTGCTAAAAAGTGGGTTGTTTTAGAAAATATACCCAAAAACAATTTTCGAAAACATATTTCCAAACAAATTTGTGAGTTGTCAAAAACATAAAACAAAAAACACAACCAAACAAACAGACTCTTTTAAGTTTCATTTTTACAGTTGGCTTCGCACCTAAAACTTCGACTATCAACAGCCTTGGTAATTCAGCAACCTAACTTCACAATCAAAACAAACACAACAACATTTTCTTAGTTTAGTGACATTTGAAAGTGCCACAAAACTATTCTTCTAATGACATTTTTTAGTCTTGTGGCATTTTGAACAAGTGCCACTTCTATCGGTGCCACGGTAGATACGAGTGCCACGGTAGATACTTGCAAGTGTCACTGCACCATCATGGCTAAAAACTTTCAATAACATTTTAATGTCATGGTAGATATTATTTGTGGCACTATCAAGCGCCATTAAAAAAAGAGTTAGTGACACTTATAAGTGTCATTACACCATCAAAACTAAAACCTTTCACTGACACTTTAATGTCATGGTAGGCACTATTCGTGACGCTATCAAGTGCCATTCGTGACGATAATTCGTTATAGAACAATTTGATCCGCTCTTGCAGAAACTTGAACCGCCAACCTCCCGCACCATAAACCTTATACACCACACTCTTCCCACTACACCTCTATAGCACCATATGATTATATATGCAAAATATATTATTTATATAGTACATACATCTATATTAATATAAAAGTATATGTATAAACATAATTATTTTATTGAACATAAATTATGTAAAATAAACTATTTACTAGTAAAATAAAAAAAGACCACTTTTGGCGATTAAAAATATTTTTTGGTCGCCAATTCTATACTTTTGGCTACTAATTGCTTTTTAGTTACTAAAAAACTTAACTTTTGCTGACCAAAATCGGATTTGGTCACCGAAGATGCACTTTCAGCTACCAAAATTTTGGTCGCCAAAAAATTTAATTCCCGCCTTAGGATTTTAGTTTTCCCGTGCTAAAAATAACCACTTTTGGCGACTAAATTTATTTTTTAGTCGCCAATTATAGACTTTTGGCTACTAAAATTTTTTTAGTCACCAAAAAGCTTTACTTTTGGCTACTAAAATTTTTTTAGTCGGTAAAACCTATATAATCAGTGACCAAACTTATTTTTAGTTGCCAATTGTAAACTTTTGGTTACTAAATTTTTTTAGTTGCCAAAAAGCTTTACTTTGGGCTACTAAGATTTTTTTTATCACTAAAACCCATATAATCAGCGACCAAACTTAGTTTTAGTTGCCAATTGTAGACTTTTGGCTACTAAAATTGTTTAGTCGCCAAAAAGCTTTACTTTTGACTACTAATGCTGTTTTGGTTGCTGAAAGCTATACTGAGTGGTTTGATTTTCCACAAATTTGACAAATCAGTCCATGTTGGTCTGAATGATGAAAAGATGATCTACCTTGGCCTCCACCTCTGCCTTGGCCTCCACCTCTGCCTTGTCCTCCACCTCTATAGGTGTTACCTTGTCCTCCACCTCTGTAAGTATTTTGATAAAATCTGCCTGAATTTCCTGAGTTGTTACTTTTAGAACCATCTCTGGTGTAACCTCTAGAATTCCCTCTATGACATTTTTTAAAAAATGCCATTGCAACTAAAGTTTAGTGGCATCTGTTGGTAAATGTCACGAACATAATTTTTTGTGTCATTATTTTATAAAATGCCATAAAATTGATGTGACATTTCTTTATTGAAATGCCACTAGAGCCTTATATGTTTGTGACTTTGTGGCATTTATCTAAATGTGTCACCAAATATTATTTTTGTGGCATTTTCTAAAAACATGCCACTAGTATAGTGTCACTAAAGTGTGTTTTTGTTATAGTTTTGGTGACACTTGCTCATTGAAATGTCACTAGAGCCTTTTATGTTTATCGTTTTGTGGCATTTTTTAAAAACGTGCCACTAAATATCATTTTTGTGGCATTTTCTATAAATATGCCACTAGTGTAGTGCCACTAAAGTATGTTTTTGTTGTAGTTTTGTGACACTTGTTCATTGAAATGTCACTAGAGCCTTTTATGTTTGTCGTTTTGTGGCATTTTTAAAAAACGTGCCACTAAATATCATTTTATGTGACATTTTCTAAAAATATGCCACTAGTGTAGTGCCACTAAAGTATGTTTTTGTTGTAGTGAAATTGTCGCAGTTTTTAAGTGGCATAAAAACATTATGCCGAGGAAATTGGGGGATGAAACCATGTCTTGCTTGAGGGGCTAAAGAACTAATTCAGTGTGTCATCCAAATAATGAAAATTCTATTCACACACTGTAAAAAATCTCAGTACACATCGTTACTCTTGTTTAGATAAAAATTTTAGAAGAAAAGTTAATTGTTCGGATATAACTTCCGAACAAGAATGAATGGTAAACATTTCATTCAATTATTTATGTCTGAACAATTGTTTCTTAACCATAAAATGTAGGTAATTTCTCTCAGGCCAAACACCAAAGACGTAATAGGCAGAGCAATAATGTACGTAACTGTTTAATATGCATTGTATGGAATGACTAACCTCCATTGCATAAATGTTAACTCTAGTTCTTCTCCGAATAGTGCTACTCGCTTTACTACACCAACCAGGGCAAGGGCAGTTTGAACTTGCGGACATGGATTTGCAGGGAGAAGGGTTGGGGTGGGTTTGTAGTGCATGCAACTTAGGCGGGCTCAATTCATTTCAAAATTAATCCAATTTTTTTTAGGATGTAAATAATATATTTTAAAATTTAATACAGATTTAAGCAAAAATTCAAATCCAAAAATTAATTTCAAGACTTTTGTTTTAATCTTGGACCAATCTTTTGAATTTTTGAATTTGAGCAAAAATTCAAAAGATTAAAGTAAAAGTCTTGAAGTTAATTTAATGACACTAAATTCAATAATAGACCTTGTGATAATGTGTCATCGCAAATTTGTAATATAGAAATTGATGGATGGTTGCAATCCATGGCGGCTAGGGTGGCAAATCTTCACTCAATTCTTATTTTTAGGGGGAAATTACTTTAGAATGAGACAGATAAAAAATATATATAAACATAGAAATGTGCAACTCAAAATTATATTTGGGTTTGAGTTGTATCTTGAATTGCACTCCACTACAGACTAACTTGAACTCTCCATGTTTTAATAAAAAAATTTAAAAATTTTTTTCCTTGTTCACTGACCAGCCCCTATTTTTAAAGGCTTGGGTTGATAATTTTGACTTGCCTTAAGCCCTTGTTTGGGAACAGGTTTCTTTAGTAATTTTTTAAATTTTTGTTAAAATATGATTTAAAAAAAATTAGTATGTTTGAGATGACTTTTTGATTTTTTACTAATAGATGTGCAAAAAGTAGGAAAAAAAAAAAGAATCTTTGACTTTTTTGTATAAGTTGTTGGCTTTTTAATTTTTTCAATGACTTTTTGACTTTTAGGCAAAAAAGTGATGTTATCAAACGAGGCTTAAATAAAGGGGTGATTATTCAGTACTCCCGGAGTATGGACACGTGGTGTTCCATAAGGTTTTGATTGGTGGAGAGACACAATGACCCACGATTTATGTTGGAAATGGGAGACAACATGGGGCTAACTAATTGGTGATTGGTTTGGAGTATGGACACGTGGTGCTCCGGGAGTATTGAATAATTTCCCTAAATAAAGGGAAAATTTCATTGCAGTACAATAAAATAATAAACTTTATAAGTATTAATAATTAAAAATATAAACTCTCATCAATTTATAATAAATTTTGACTGATGTGCTCATTGATATGATTAGAGACATGTAAGAAGGGTTGGTGACCACTATTAGATCGCCTACTAAAGAGATAAATGAATTTCCTATCACTATAGGGTTACACCAAGGATCTATCTGAAGTCCTTATCTTTTTGCTTTAGTTATGGATGAATTAACGAGAAATATTCAAGATGACGTGCCATGGTGTATGCTTTTTACAAACAATATCGTGCTAGTGGATGAGACTAAAGAAGGAGTTAACGCAAAGTTGGAGATTTGAAGAAAAAAACTTGAATCTAAAGGATTTCGGATAAGCAGAACTAAGGCAAAGTATGGAGTGTAAATTTAGTAACAGTAACAATGAAAGCAGAGAAAAAATGAAGATTGAGAACCAAGAATTGCCTAAGAGTTTATTTAGGATCGATTATCGCAACAGTTAGGGAGATTGATGCGGATGTGGCCCATAGGATTAAGGCGGGATGGTGTAAGTGGAGAAGTGCGTCTGGAGTACTGTGCGATAAACAAATACGCGCTAAACTAAAAGGTAAGTTCTATATAACGGCTATTAGACCAGCGATGTTGTATGAGACAAAGTGTTGGACAACTAAGAAATAACATGTAGATAAGATGAGTGTGGCTGAAATAAGGATGCTAAAGTGAATGTGTAGCAAGACTAGACAAGACAGAATTAGAAATGAGTGTATTCGGGAATGAGTAGGAGTACCGATAGAAGATAAGTTGAGAGAGAATTGATTAAGATAATTTGGTCACATTCAAGGGAGACCAACAGAAGCAGTAGTGAAAAGATGCGATATAGTGACAGTAAATGGAATTGTTAAGTGATCGGGTAGACCTAAATTAACGTTAGGTAGCGTTGTAAATAGAGATATGGATCTACTTAATTTGACTAACGACATGGCCTTTAATAGAGCTGTATGGAGAAAAAAGATTCATGTAGTCAACCTTATTTGATGGGATTTAAGACTTAGTTTTGTTTTGTTTGGTTCGGTACTCATTGATAATTTCCCCTTAAATAAATGGATTGGATTTGAGTTGGTGTATTCCAACCTGTTTACGAATGGGATGGGTTCGGGTTGACCGTTCTGGACCTAATTGGTTATTATACTGTATTAATTTTGTCAAAATTTTGTATTTCATTAATCAAACAGACACATTTGAAAATAAATTTTCTACATAATAGAAAGATCGAATACTTTAAAAATGTATATATATAGTCAAACCTGACCTATAGGTTGAAGACTACAAAGTAAAAATTAATTTCCATGGTTCAATACGCCTACCAAAAAAAAAAAAAATACTTCATACATGAAAATCTTGAGCTAGAAAATTGAAGAATCAATATATGGCATGTACAGGGAGTGATGCTGATGAAGAAGCAGCAGCTGCAGAGGTAGTGGTGAACTTTGTGGAATCAGTGTATAGGCTGCTTCCAGAAGTAGGGGCATCACTAGACACTGAAAATGCAGTTTTGAACATTGAAGGAGGCAAGTATGTTGCCACTGGCATCTCCAATGGAAGACTGGGCAATGAAGCTTCCAAATTAAGAACTTGAATTGCTTGCCTAATCGAAGGCCGAAGCTTGCTATCGGGATGAGCACACCACAGCCCGATAACCATCAAGCGTTCCATTTCTTGCTCATTGAACTCTCCACATAGTTTCAGATCAGCTGCTTCAAGAAGCTTTCCCATTCCATAGAGGTCCCAAACCCACTCAACCATGATTATCTGACTCTCTTGGACATTGTGTTTGATGGGTTTTCTCCCACATGCTATTTCCAATGCTACGACCCCAAAGCTGTAGACATCTGATTCTTTGCTAGCCTTTCCTGTGACAATATATTCAGGTGCCATGTATCCCATGGTTCCAGCCAAGGCTGTCGTCTGCGATCCTTTTTCGTGATCAACAAACCTAGCTAACCCAAAATCTCCTAGTTTGGCATTGAAATTTGAATCTAACATGACATTACTTGACTTTATATCCCTATGCACCACGCATTGTTCCCATTCTTCATGCAAGTATAGCAATGCTGAGGCCAAGCCTCGAGCAATTGTGTATCTCACTGCCCATGTCAACAAGCTTTTTTCCTCAAAGAGATGGGAATCTAAGCTGCCATTCGGCATGAACTCATAAACAAGGAGGAGTTCTCGTTTTTCATGACACCAACCAAGGAGTTGCACCAAATTCCTATGCCGCAAACGACTAATGATCTTCACTTCTGAGGCATACTCTTTTAGCCCTTGTTTTGAACCCCTTGATATCCTCTTCACAGCAACATAGGAATTCAATTCCTTCAAGAAACCTCTATAAACCCCGCCAAACCCTCCCTCTCCAAGTTTCTCTTGTTTGTCGAAATTATTTGTTGCACGAGCCAACTCGTTGTATGAAAATCTCTTTGGTCCTGCTCCTCTCTCAAATTCATCATCTATGGTGACCTCAAAGTTAGGGTCATCTTCACTTTCTCCTCTGTTCCTCTTCTTCCAACAGGCAAACAAAACCAAACCCAACCCACAAATCAAAAAAACAATTCCGCCCACAACAATTCCAACCACCAGTCCCATGTTGCCTTTACTTGGATTGTGGTCAGGAGGACTAACGCTTGGTGCAGTTCCATTTACATCAATTTGTAGAGTTGAACTAAAATTCCATGACTGGATGCTTTGCGTTGCTGATGCATTTCCTGTTGCAGCTGAAAAGCCAAAAATGACTGTTTCTGGCAAGTAATCTCTCAGATCAACTATATGAGAAAGGCCTTGTAGGACAGTGTCATTACCGCTAAAACCAGTGAAAACAACACTAAGATTTTTCGAACTAGAATCATAACTAATCCAAGCTTCATTTTGCTTCCCATCTTGAACATTACTCAACCATGTAACATTAGCAACTGATTTCATAGAGTTGATATCAATACCTACATGATCATGTACTGGGTCCCAAAGGTTCTGATATATATCGAACTCCACAGCGACAAATGCATTGTCTGTTGAGTTCAATGTCTGGTTGTCCTTTGTGAGGCCAAGAGTGCCGCCTTTTGTCACCCCATCAGGAATTCTGGAACCTTCGGGCGCAAGGAAGAATGCGATTCCATCACCATATGCTGTTCTGTTTTGGGAATCAATGATGAAGGAAAAGTGGGTGGTGAAGTCAGTGAGATTTCTTGAGGCCTTATCCCAAAGCTGCATAGGTCTGGCATATGAGGCTCGGCCGATGTTTGCAATGTTTTTGGTGAGTTGGATGGCATTGTTTTCTGCATAAGCTCTCTCATATGTTATGTTAGAGTCATCTGGACTGAAGCTGCTGAAGTTGAAGGACAATGGAGCTGTAAAGGGGATGATTAGTAAAAATAAAATGTTGATCATCAAGAGAGAGGATGGTTTGGTGATTGGAGATTGGTAAAACCAGAGTGCCAAACAACCCATTGTTGAAAACAAGTTTAGCAGATTGGCCTCTACATAGCTTGCTGTTGCGGCATAAATCTTTTGACAATCTCTGTTTATCTGTATTGTCTCTCTTAGGCAAGTCTATCTATGTTAAATTGACTTCTTCACTCCATCATTGTGAGGTATTTTACCTGGCAAATAGTACACGAAAAAAATTATATTTTTTATTTTGCCGAATCATTTACACTTCCTTTGGTTTGAGTGATTTGAAGAGACAAGAAATGAAATGGAAATAAATGGATTTCAATCACTTGTTTAGATTATTAAATAGGGGAGAAATGGAGACAAACACATTTCTCTCATAATCTCTATTTTGAATCTCTTCAAAAGTTGAGAGATTGGGAGACAAATGAAACCACAAAATACTATTTTATTATAATACCAAAACTAGCCCTTAACATATATATATAACAAATAAAAAAACTAACTCCTATAAAAAGATTAATTTGGTAATATAATATTATATCATTTTATTTATTCTTTTTTATATAGTTTAACCAAACAAGGTATAGAGAAATCAAATATCATTTCTTTTCCTTTCTCTCTTATCTATCCAAACAAAATATAGAGAAATCACAATCTTTTTTTTTAAGTTTTGAAATTCAAGGGCAATGTGAAAATGGGTTGTAGTTTAAGGAGAGTTTATTGTAGTTTATCCTAAAATAGAGTATTGACTCCAACCACAAGCCTTTATCTAGAAAAGTTTACAAAAGAATAAAGAGCAAATTTCACTTTGTACTTCTACATTTTACAGTCATTCACATTTTATTCTTTGAGTTTTTAATTATTCTAGTCGAGTCAAATTACAATTGGACCGTTTATATAATGATGTTCCAAAAATTAACAAAGAAATATTAATTATATTTAATATCTTTACACTTTTATCAAAATTGCACTTTAATCTTTATATTCATTTTTTGAAACGGCATTATTATAAGAGTGAAACTTGACTTGAAATTTAGAAATTAACTTGTGCCAATTAAAAAGTTCAGGATAATGTAGCATGGGGGTGCAAAAGTATACAAGGTAAAAGTATACAAGGACAGTGAAATTTGCTCAAGTATAAACTCTCAATTTTTTATTGAAGGGAAATACAATAACAGTTATCAAACGTAATCAATTATAATTTTGACCAGCACAACAACAACAACAACAACAAATTCCAGGATCAAATCATAAACCCAAATCAATAAGCTCTTTACATGGTTAAAGACAACACACCCTTCGAGGGACAACACTCCTAGCCACGTTAGGAGCATTCACAGTGGGATGGCTAAAAAAATGTGTTAAGATGTGTGTTATATAACAAAAAGTGATAAAAGTAGAGTCCAAAAATGTGTGTTAAGATGTATTAAGAGTTTGTTAATTTTAAAGAGTGAGTAGTAGTATAATGGATGTGTTAAGGGGTGTTTTAAGAATATATATATATATATATATAATAAATAAAATAAATAAATAATTTAATTTAATCAAAAATTTCAAGCCTAAAATTAAATTTCAAGTACAAAAAAAAATCCCAACAAGTAAAAAAATAAATTAAGTTGACCGCCGGTTGACTGCCCGGACGTTCGGTCGATCAACTGGTCAGACCCAATTTTTTTTTTTCCTTTTCTTAAAGGGTCCGGAAGTCCGAGGGACTTCTGGCGGGACATCCGGGAGACTTCCCAAGCACACATCTCTCTTCCTTCGTTAGCTAAAACGCTGGCCACAGTTAACAAACAAGTTAACAACTGACACTAACACACAACACTAACACACCATTGCAACACCCAACAATGTTTTTAGCTGGCCAAAAACTAACACCTGACACTAAAATACTCACTAACGCATCCATTGTGGATGCTCTAACACACATAATTTATAAGAGCAATAATGTTTGGGAGCTCTAATTGTGGGTCTTACAGGATGATGTGATGTTTTGGCTTGCTTTTCTCTCTTTTTTTTTATTTTTTGGTTTGACACCTCACTAGAGCTCTTGTTAGAGCTCTAGTGTTAGAGCCCTCTGTCACCTTTAAGGAAGCAGATTTAAATAAGTGTATTTTTTGAATTTTTATTGTGTGGGTAATTTTCCGGCCATACTGCCCGTCTGGTAATCAGCTGGAAAAGCACTGGCAGAATAGATGACTTCAGCTAACCTGTAACAGAAAGAAAAAGCTCCGACGGTGGTTCTTCCACCCGGGGGCATTCCGACGATCAAGTCAGTATATCTCTCAAAGATAATCAAGTGCTAAATTTACTACTCAAAGCATAAAACTGCGTACCTTTGACCCACGGGGGTGCCTCTCTTTTATAGCTAACTCAATCCTAATCCCACTAGAAGCCTGACTTCTATGGACTCCAACTCAATACTTACTTTGGACTCCTCAAGAGATAAAGATAAACTCCCTAAGAGTTTTATTCTTATCTTGGCTAACTCTCCACTCTACTCTAGGACTCTTGTCCCTTATCCACTTATCTCGGATTCCGATATCTTCGGAGATAACATCAGCCTTGCCGAGATCACCTCGGCGTCATGACCAGGACACGTGGCACCTCGGCTAACACGTCGGCGTCACCTTGCCACGTGTTGGTACTCAGAAAATATATCCCCACAACTGCCCCCCTAGGTTCTATTACCTCGTCGGCATTCTAAGGTGATGGAACCTATATCATTCCGTTTATCCAGTACGTCGGTTTTCAGTATCTCTGCCGAGATCATTCATTTCATGCCGACATGCTTTTCCTAAAAAATCAAGATTTTAAGGACCTTCTCACGCGCATGAGCTGTCATGCACTTCAACTCAACCGTTTTAATCACGCGTTTCCCTCTTACTGGGCCGTACCCATGACGCGCCTGTTAGCTGCCTCTTTCTTCATGTGCGCCGTCTGACGCCCTCGTTCTTCTAGGTGTATTGATTGCTTTTTTTGCCGCCGCTTTCATTTTTGACAAAATATTTCCCCCTTTCTTCCGTCTCTTCACTTTTGCATCTGAGTTCTCTTGCTTTTTCTCTCTCTAAACTCTTTCTTTCAAATCTGCCATTACTCAAGCTCCAAGCTTTGTAATTACCTTTCGTTCTTCCTGTGAAGTTTTCGTTGTCTTCGTTACATCTGTAACTGTCGTCTAACTTCGGCAATCTTCATACCGGCTTCATATTTTCTGGTAAGCTACTGTTCCTTTCGTTTTCAGTTCCTTGATGTTTCTTCTTCTTTTGTTGTCGCCATTACTGTACTGTTTCAATGCTTTTTTAATTTATAAATCGCACATCTAAACGTATTCATCAATGATTTTGCCTTTACCCACATTTTGAACACACGCACTGTTTCATCACTTCTTTGTACTTTTGTCACTGTTCTTGGCCATATACTCTTGTATTCTTCATGTTCTTGATAGCCCATCCCAATTCTTATTTCTGAAACTTCGTTTTTGTTTTCTGTTTTTTGCATCTTTTCCAAATCTGTGCCCTTGATCTTCATCTTCATAGCTTTAGGTTTGGGATTTGTTTGTAGAACCCACGATTTAGGGCAAAACTGAAACATTCCTTATAAATTTCTGTACCAACCCAAACCTAGGTTTTTGCCGAGGTCCCATTAATAAGAAACATCTTCCTTCTGAATTTCAACCCTTCTAATTTAGGCCGATATCATGGGTATGTGGAGACATAGGGTAGATACCCCGACCAAACTTGAGTACTTTAGGCAAGAGTTCTCCATCCCTGCCGATGTCCATCTGAAACTGGCTGGGGATGATGACTCCATCATGCCTACAGAAAACGCCATGCCCCTTCCCATTGTAGCTTTTACTGAGTGCAGACTCCGGCTCCCACTCAACATCCTTTTTCGCGAGATTCTTCATTATTATAAGTTGAACCCTATACAACTGGCAATCAATTCTTATCGCGTGATTTTTGGTATTATCGCCTTAGCTAAACAAGAAAACGTTAGGATCACCCTAGCTGATATACAGTATTGTTACACCATGTGTGCCCTTAACTTGAAAGAAAAAGGCTTCATTTATTATCTTAAGCCGAGGTCTACAGAATTCAAAATCATAGCCGACCTCCCAGACTCCAACAAGGGGGCTGGAGATGACTATCTCATTACCTCGGGAAATTGGGAGTTTGCTCCAGATGAGGACATCCATCTCTACCCTCTTCCCCGATCAGTTTTAGAGGGCAAGGGTAAGAGCCCAGTATTAAGCTTTGCTTGTTTTCTTTCAAGGTCTTAAATACTTTATCTATTTCTGACGTTTGTTCTTTTTGCAGCTTACGTCAGCCACCAAAGGATTTTCGCCAATCCTTTGTCCCCAGCAAAGACTTGAAGAGACTTCTGGGTTTGCCAATCGAGAAGCGAAAGGCACCCCTACTTCTCAACTTCATCCCAACATACAAATCAGCTCTTCCCGACGTCCCCAGGAAAAAGAAGAAGAGTTTATCTCCTCCCTCTGCTACGACTCTTCCAGTTGCATCAACATCGCGAACAGACCAAGGATCAACCTCTGATCCAGCAGAACAACCTTCGATCTCGACTCCATACCTCATTCCACCATCCCAAAGAAAGCGTTGCCGACGTCTTGTTCTTACAACCGAGATGGGTCGCGCAAAGCCAGTTGCTAAAGACCTCATAGCCAACATTCCATCATCCATTAATGAACAACCAACACAAACCCAACCTCCAGCAAAACCAAAAAGAATTAAGAAAGCTCAACCGAAGGCAAAAGTTACTCAGACTGAGTCTGAGGATGCTTTGCCTATATCAAAGTTGGCTGAGAGCGACAAACCTCAACCCTCCGCTGGGAAGAGGCGCTCTGAAACACAGCCATCAGAATCCCCAAAATCCAAAAAGCCGAGATCCTCCTCCGCGACGACTTCGGGGTCCAAACAGAGCGGTATCCCTTGGACCCCTCAAATTACTCTAGAGGACAAGCCAGTCCTGACTACTGACAGTGCCGATGATATTAATGTCGGCGTAGCACTCAGTACCGCTCTGCTTCTGCCAGGGGACTTGGAGCGAAATGCTGGCTTTAGCGAGTACGAGAATTACGCCCTAATGCTTCAACACTCTGTTCAGGTAAATGTCTCCTAATTGGTGAATTTTTTCTTTCTTTATTTCATACTTTGAATATTCTTTAATACCTCTATTTTCTTTCAGGCCA